CCTTATCTTAGGGAGCTTCTCAGTGCTGGAGCGTCCTGCAGCCAAACTGTGGTCTTTGCTGCTCTCACTAACATACTCCAGGGTTGCTGGACAAGCTGTGCTCTGGGATAAATATATTTCCTATAACGTATCTGAGTAGTTGCAGTACTTCACTACATCTTGTGCTTTGTTGGTTATTCCAGTTCCTGGTTAAAAAAACCCAACATCTCTATTTTTCAGGCAGTGTCTGGTGGACCTGCGCTATGGTAGTGCCCTCTGCTTCTCTTTTTTATCTAATGACTGTCAGCAGGTCTGTCTCCCTTTTCCAGACTGGACCTAGAAGAGCAAATACTCTCTTGATGTGCAGGGGACTTCTTTATTTCTGTAGCCTCCTTTTTCAGTAAGTTATATCATCCGTATTAAGTCTAGTTTTGTGAATTATTTACTGAGCCTCTCTTATTGCTCAGTTATATTGTAGTTTTGATGCTGTACTAATTTCCTTCCAGCTCCTTTTGTGTATTCCCCACACTTAGAGATGTCTGTTAGGGTCCACAGATCAAATATTCTTCATTACACTTCCTTCCCATGAGATTATCATGGCCAACACAATCTTCCATGGGATTTACACCCGTGTTCATTTGTTGTACCCACCTCAGGGTTTTCTTTGTCAAACTCACTTGATCCTACTTAAAAAAATATTTCCCTGAGGTAAACCAGGAGGTGAACAAAGTTGAAATTCCTCTTTTTCATAAGGTGAACTTTGTTCCTGCCCAGCAGTTCGTGGTGTGTCATCTCTGAAGAAGGAAACTTGTCATAGTGACCCACATGTCTTTGGAGGGGAGAGGAATGTGTGAAAAGGAGAGGCAGCAAGGAGTGAGAGAGGAATCTTGGTGTGTTTTTAAATCCTTCATTGGTGTATGTGCTACACCAGCAATACCACACTCTGAAATGGATCCTGTATTTTCCCTTAGTCTCTAAATGTTTGCAGTACCCGGGCAGAGAGAATGAATTGTCTCAAGAATATTAAGACAGTAAATTTGTGGTTACCCACCCTGTAAATCACAGTAGTCAGTGCAGTGTGCGGGTCTGAGGCAATAAAATCTCTATTCTCCATTTTTAAAATTGGAAATCTGTGTTTATAAATAATGGCCATTCCCGCTAATTAGATCCTTCAGTTGCTTTATGTGCCAGTGTTCTGATCACTGTTCCCATAGCTCTTGTTCTCAGTGCTCGTTTTTCACAGGGTCATGGAGCTGCTTAACACTTGCTGTCTTAATTAACACATTTTGTCATTGAGCACTCGGGTCACTTCTGGCACGTTCACACGCGTGCCCATGCAGGTGGATCTCCTCTGCGTGCAGGCATTGGCGTGGAGAGACGTGTCACTGGGGAGCCAGCCCTGATGGCTCTGCCATCCTGCTCCTCCTGCCCAGCCCCACCACGTGGCGAAGAGCAAGCGCATTCCCAGGGCACTGCCACTCGGAGAGGGTTTTCCACTGACTGGGGCTTATCAGCCAACAACACAATTTAAGGAGACCTGCTTGAGTGTCTCAAGTGCCAGAAATAATGCAAGGTCCCTGCATTTGCTCTGGTGAAAACCTGAATTTTAAAGGTCAAGTGGGTCATGTTGAGCTGGAGCTTCCTGCAGAACGTGATGAGGATGAGTGGAGGTATGGTAGTTTTCCACACGCCAAATACTCTACTGTGTGTTGAAAGCCCTTCCAAAATTACCATTATAGCTGTAAGGAGATGGCTTCATCATATCACCACTTGACTTTTGAAGTAGCTTCATAAAGAAGCCTTTAATTAGCCGTTTTAGACCTTTATTTCCCCACATACAAAGGAGGTCCCAGAAGGATTCACTTGAGGAAAACAGAGCAAATTTTAGCAGGCAGTTAGCATAATGTATAAAAAGAAGATTTACTTTGGATATGTGTTTCTCATCAATGTGTTGAAATTTGGTGGTTACAGAAGGATGCTGGCTGCATTTGAGGTTCAGGTTACCACAGAGCTGAGGGAATTGAGCATTTCTTGATGTGATTTTTACATAGGGAGGTTATTTTAGTGAATAAAGAAAAATGTGATTTTTTTTTTTGTGAATAAGCTCTGCAAGTATATTTCATTGTCTGTAGATATTTTTGAATTTATTCTATATGTATGAAATAGTTTTTCCTGGTAGGATGAAATACCCTAAAGTCAATTAAGGTATTAAAGTCAATCCTTCATTTAATTCGGAGAAGGGTACTTCAAACTGAAAACAGGTTCACAGCGGATGCTGCCGTTTCAATTTTATAAAAGAAATTGATATATTCCTGCCAGAAAATAGGAGGTTATTGTGACGGAGAGAGGTAACAGCTCAGCAATGTGCATTTCTGTAACGTTGTGGTTTCGAAGCAGTGATCTGTGGGAAGGTGCCTGGGAAGGTTCTTTGCATTTCTCACTTCTGCAGTGCCTACGGCTCCAAGTTGCTTTCTCAGAGGGGTGGTGATGAGGAAGACTGACCAGCAAATGTTGTACAATTAGTTGTACCTACAACTAATGGCTGAGGTCAGGTGTTTTCCAGGAGCAGCTATGTTTGTAATTCCTTCTTGCAGCAGTAAGAGGGGCCGTAGGGAGGAAAAGAGGATAAAGCTATTTTGAAGCCTCAAAGTAGTGAAATGGGGTTTTTTTTCCCCTAACTTCTGCCTGTGGCACGAATACATGTATTAATGAAAACAGTTTCCATGAGGGCAGGGGGAGCCCAGCTCTAGCAGGGGAGGAGTGGTGGGATGCTCTGCCAGCAGGCACCTGCGGAGCGGCGTCCCAGCACACGGGTCTCTGGGCAGCAGTCTGCCCCCAAACCCCTAAGGGGGAGGCACGTGGGGAGTTTCTGATCCACTCAGAGGTTGAATATTGTGGTCTGTGCGGTGGGAATTGAGGTAAGATGGAAGAGTGCATTTCCGGAAACGGTGGAAGTTTTTTTTTCTTTTTAAAATGTTGTTTTAATTTTTATTCACCCAGTACAGTTAGCCTCTTGGTTTCTTTAATAGCAAACCCGTGCATAAACACGTGCACTCACACCCGCACGCTTTTTCTTTTTTTAATATTCCAGGTACTGGAAGTGACTTTGTAAAACCAAGATAAAATTACTTTTGTACTGAACAGAATATAGTTCTGTCTGTCCGCTGCAGCGCAGCTAGGAGTGTAATTATTCAGCGGTGGCTGATCACCTTTCGTGCTAGAAGAGGAGAGGAGTTTATATCGGTTTCACCATTGCTTTGCAGTTTAAATCTTTAATGACATCTAGGCATAATCTGAACGGTAGCAGCCGAAGCGGGAGTGTTGTGGTTTGCTTCTCACTGAGAGGGAAACCCCCCCCACCTGCGAGATCACACTTGAAATCGGTGTAATCCTTGGCCTCGATGCCTGTGGAAAAACTTGGCGATGGGGTTGCACGTGGCTCGTGATGGCTGTCCCTCACGCCAACCGCGGCTGATGGTCCCGATGGTTTTCCCATCTGCTTGTACCCATCTGTCTCTTGATTTTCCCTTGGCCTGCAAGACCTTTAGGACAGGGTGGGTATTTTTCCTTAAGTGTTTACAGCCAGTCGTATACAAATATTCTCTCGGCTGGCACAAGACATATTTCAGAAAATTAATATGTATAAATTCTCCTTTTGTTTTTCTTAACAATTGCTGCCTTAGGGAGAGCACAAAAATACCTCCTGCAGAGTAAAACCTCTTCTCAAAGGAAACATTAAACACAAGCTTGGACTAAAATAATTACCATACAGTGTATCTTTTGGCCTTCCCTTGAAAGAAAACCACTATTAAAATGTAACATTAAATAAACTGTACTCCTGTAGAGCGTTTGTGTAGTTTTTCTAGAATGATTTCATTCATCTCACATGATTTAGCTTGCAGAAAGATTGAACACAACTTCAGCGATGTTTTACGGTTGCGATTTAATCAGCAATTGACTTTGGAAAACTAAATATAAACCCAGGAAGAGCCTGTTGCTGAGTAGAGGTAACTTCTGGTCAGCTCCAGGCCTGAAATAATACAACTTTGTTATCATTTATTTCTCTCTTCGGTCCTGAGGTTGGCAGGAAAGCTGGGCACTGGGGCAGCAGCCTGGGCTGCATCTTCCTTTCCCATTTGTATCGGAGATGGAAAGCAAAAAAAAAAAAACAAAACAAACCCAAACCCATGCCAGAACGAGGGACTCCCTTGTAGTGGGGAGTGTAATACTCGCAGGAGAGGGCTGCTAATGCTTGAAACCCAGAAAGTTAATTTGTGTTTGGATCTCACCAAGGTGTCTGAGCCCAAACCCCAAGGGAGGGAGCTGTTCCAGTGGTGGCAGGGGTCCTGGGGGGACCCATGCTCTTCTTTTTACCATTTACATTTTTGCACAAGGCTCCGTAGCATCGGTACAACCATGCCACCTTGTGTTAATTTCTGTTTCCTTATGGCCTTGAGCAGTCAGAGAAAAAAAACATAAAAGAATTTTCTGTGAGTGGATGCGTGTGTATATATGTGTGTCATTTTCTAGTGCTGTTAAAATGTTCACTTCTATCTCCCTGTCCAATCCTGATTGTGTATCAATAGCAGGTGAAGTGACTCTGTTACTTTGTGCTTTACTATTTGGAATAAATTATAATTTAGAATTCAGTTATATTTTCAGAGGATGTTAACAATGAGGAAGTCGAGCTATTGTGGTATGTATGTGTCTAGTCCAGCATGGGTAACTCTTTCTGGACTGCCATAAACTCTGCTGAAGAGTGGATTATGCCTCAGCTCAGGAGAATTTGGTCTATTATATGCCCAATTCCTGGAAGTTTTGGGTGGGCAGGAGTCATTCTGACAGAAAAATCACCTGTGGATTTTTCACCATGGAATTAGTAGCATTAAGATTGTTTTATTGTGAGGAGTTACATTTGAGAATGCTTTAAATTTAAAAAAAAAAATAAAATGGCTGTGGATATGCATAAAGCTTTTCAAAAGAAAATGTATTAATTAAACCTTTGCCTCTTTTCTACATAGTCAGCAGCAGAGTACGTGAAATCCCGTCTGCCTGAAGTCCTGAAACAACATCTTCAAGACTACGAGAAGGACAAGGAGAACAGTGTGTTGTCTTACCAAACAATCCTGGAACAGCAGATTTTGTCAATTGATCGAGAAATGCTGGAAAAATTGACTGTATCCTATGATGAAGCAGGTATATTTGTGTTTTCTTTCTAAGTTACATTTTACTGAAAAAAAAAATTGCTCACTTTCAGTCTTTCTCCCAACTACTAGTGCTTGTGCTGGCAAATTGAACTTTGCTCTCAAAGGTATGAGGTGACTCAGTGGAACATTTCTGCCTCCCAAAATCAAGTTGAGATCGAAAATTTTCCACTTCAGTGATTGAATACTAACTAGGTGAAAGGACAGTTATTTTTCTAACAGCGCTTTGTCCTTTGCGCTGATGTTGACTGATCTAGCTGTGCCTCTTTATTGTCCCTGCAAGTGGTGCAACCTGGTTTCTGTTGTTTTCTTCTTCATTGCTAACTTTTTTTTTTTTTTGCTTACTTAGCTAAGAGGGTACTGGATAGCCACAGAATCTGTTTTTAAATGTGACATGATGCGTGTGGATAGCTAAAGCCAGATAATTTGTAGAGTGTTGGAGGCATTTTAACGGTGCTCGTACAGGGGCTTTCAGTTTTGTTATTTACTTTGTAATAATTTGGAGGTTGCTTAGCTATGGCTAATATTTTTACTAACATTTTGTTTTAAAGTAGTTAGAAATGTCTTCCAGCTTTTAGATCCTTCAGAGTTGTCCTGATGCATGGTTGTCTTTACAGTTACAGATTAAAAAAGAGATGCTCTTGACGTTTCTCACTGTCTTCCAAAATAGCCACTAATACCTGCTGTGTGCCTGCTCCTCAGGTTTCTGGGTGTTTAGATATATCGAAATTAACTATGCAGCCTTGGAAAGAAAGAATCAAACAAACAAAACAGTTTGTTATTTTACTGCTGAATTAATATTCACGGCACCAAGTGGCCTGGCAGTGCGTGCAGGGTCTGTGTGGACGAGCCGTGAGTTTCCACTCTGGGTGTGTGCGTGCCTGGCTCGCTGCACTCCCCCCAGTAGTGTATCTCTCGGCAGCCTTCATTTCTTAGCTCTGCCTGAAGGACGCTGCTCTCCATTTCTCCGCTTTAAACCACTCGTAACTGAGAGCTGCAACACACCGTCTGCTTTCATCCACAGCCCTACCAACCACAGCCTTGTAGTACAGAAAGAGAGTTTGCACTTAGTATGTCCCCGTTTGGTTTTTTTTTCTTAATCCGTGCTGTCCCTTTGGTGTTCTGTGAGTCCCCTGACTGTACCTGGAACCATGGTGCCCTTGGGGAACTGTCCTGAGCTCAGCTCCCACTTTTCCCTTCAGCTATTTCAGGCAGAAGCCTCAAACTCATAAGTGGGCTTTTCATCCTGTTTAGATCGTGTTTGCCAGACACCAGCCTGAGTGGATCATTCTTTGCTTAGGTGGCACTCTGCTAAAATTACCATCATCTGAGTTTCTCGTCACTAGTCCAGCTCTGGAAAACCAAGCACTGACAAGCTGGTGTTACTTTCTCCTATTACTTTGTGCTCACGCTGCAGTGCCCTGAAGCACTTAAAATGCTCAAACTACTTATCAACTTTGTTCAGACTCCTACTCAGACTCCCACTCACTAGCGATACTATTCTCTTAAGCTACTTAGATCTCGAAGGAGCTTGAGCAACTTAAAATGCCATTTCTGGACTGCATGTTCCAGGTACTTAGAGGGCTGTGTGCTTTAGGAACTTCAAGTAATTACAGTGCTCTATCAGTTACACTCACGTGCTCACCCAATAAATAAGCTCAATTGTCTTAAACTGCTTTGATCTCAAATGCTCTCGAGCCCTGTATGGTGTCATTTGCAGACTATATATGTCACATCCTTAAAGAGCTCGCAGTCATAAGAGTTCTCGAAGGGCGACAGAGTTAAAATGAGGGTGCAGGATATTTGTTTAATCACATATGGCCTGGTTTTAATGATGCATAAAAAATAAGCTTCAAAACTTGTTGCTTTCTGTTGCTGCTGTTTATCTTTTTTAACGCAGAATTCATCAGTCCAATGAATCATGTAAATCTTTTTCCCCGGTTTGGTCACTTCATCTCTCTAGTCGTTTGGATGGATAGAAGTTTGTTAGGAAGGAGAAAATGCAGCAGAGCAAATTACCGACTCCTGTCAAAAGAAAAAGAAAGCATTTTTCTTTATTGAAAAATGCATGTTTGTACAGAGAAAATAAAGATTAAAACTGCTTGGAACACACTTTGGGGGATTTATATCATGCAATAAAACAATCATGTGGAAATGAGAAGCTACATAAATAACCAGTTTAGAAGAGTCCCAGCATATACACACATTCAGAATGGAGAGAGAGCACAATTCGCCGTGAGTAAAAAGCCAGGATTTCAGCTTCCCAATCAGGTAGAGACACTTCTAGAAATTAAAACATGGAGAATGGAGCCCACTCGTCATTCTAATCATGTCACTTGTTGACTACAAAAGCAAATGTGCTGCTACCTGCTCTTGAAGTAAGATCTGATTGTGAGGAAAGCACCGAAAATGGGCAGTTAAATATAATTGCAGCAGCTGTTCCTGATCCCGAGCGTTCAGTGCTCGAGCAGTTGTGTTGGTGATATTTTTCTTTTATTAGCATTTTTCCATACCAAAGCCAATTCAATGAGCAGATCAAGCTGCTGGTGATACTTGTAAAATGAAGAAAGCAATCTTTAAAGATCAAAATGGTGAAAATAAAAGTGATAGTGATGTAAGGGAAAAGTATAACTTTTTTTCTGGCAGGGGACTAGTGAGGCATCAACAAAACCCATCCTGGAGAGCACTGTCAAGTGTTTAATTTCTGTAATCATGAGCAGTTGGAGTTCTACATGTCAGCCAGGGAAAATAGAAAGTTAAAAATTGAAGGTACACGGGGTCATAGCCAAGTGTAGCAGGGTGCAGCACGTAGGGGAGCACTTCCACGGCAAAAGAGCAGACCTTCTCCGTCCAGGAAACCTTTCCCATCCCTCCTGGAAGGGCCATTTTCTGAGGGTTCGCAGAGTGCTCAGCCCCAACTAACTCCCCTTGCCCCTGGGATGTCTCCCAGAGCAGGTAAAAATCAGCTGCATCCATTTGCCAGCATAAACCAGAACTGCACTGAAATGGCTTGGGCTTCTGGTACAATTTTGCGTGTTAATTTGGCCTTTCGAGCAATATGCAATATTAATGACGTGCAGCTTCAGTGGACTCGACATCCTAATGCCTCTTTTTTGTAGGAAATCAGTATATCAGAGCTACCAAATACAACGAGTCCATCTAGAACTGGTCAAATATTGACAAGATTTTTAGTGAAGTTTGACTAAGGAAGCTTTATAAAATGAAAGCAGGCCAAAAGTGACAGATGGGTACAAATCCTCTCATAATCTTTAAATCCCTTAATTTAAAAAGTGGCATTCTTGACTAGTTGAGGCTGAGCTAATTTTGTGCAAGAGTGTTTTTTCCCGCTGAAGCTTTGTTGGATGTTAATCCTATTCCCTCGGTTTATAGCATCTCTAAACATCCGGAGTGGTCAGTGGCTACTCTGTACAAATACAAGTTTAAGGTATTTAAAGGCGCTTTGGAGTTTAACTCTGGTGTTCCAGGTAGCTGAAGCCTTCTGGGAGATTCTGGTGGTGTTTTTGTACTGCAGTCAATAGTTTTTTCTTTAATGGATGGCCCCTCTCCCTCAGAGTCCTGTAGAAATTGAGTTTCATTATTGTGCGACAAAAAAGATGAATTTCATTTTTCCCCGCTGTGAAGCAGTCATGAAAGATATTGATACTTAGGCACTGCATCCAGAGCCAGGTGTCAGACCAAAACATGTTTTCTTAGCTAATATTTGCCAGGGTGCCTCATGTTTCCTGGAGCCCCCAGCAAGGAAAGTGGGTGGCTGTTCCTCCACGCGTTCTCCTGGGGGGGGACACACACCAAAAGTTTGTGCCTGGCTGGACTTTGCGGCCTCTCCCTGCAGCTGCAGTTTGCGTAAGATTTCATGTGAAAACCTTTAGATTCAGTTGATGTGCTTGAGATGGTCGTTGTCAGTACCGTAGCATTTCTTAAAGTGAGTTTTTATGCTCGGAGTCCACGTCCCAAATTCCCTGATTACTCCGATTTTAGCAACGAAATTTATGTTCCACTGAGCTAAAATGTGGCCATTAGCACTACAACACGCGGTGCTTTGTCTCTGGGTGAGACGGGGGTTTGTACTCTGCCTTCCCCAGCCGTGCCCAGGTGCTGTGCTCTCCCTGGGAGTCACTGTCCTTCAAAGCAGGTGATGCATCGTCCTCTGCTCCTCACTCCCAGCACGACTGAGGATAAGGAATTAAACCAGCTCCTCGCCTTCAGCCTGTATTTCTGTGCTTCGCAGAAGGCTGGGTCTGGTTTCTCTCTTAGCTGCAGCTGCAGAAAAAAAGCTCCGAGCGTAAATCCAAGGCTCAGCCCTTCATTCCGACTTCAGGACTGCAACCCAGCATAGCTCTGGTCCCATGAGCCTTTGCCATTGCTGGCAAAAGTACAGAAAAGCAAAAATATTCAAGATTAAACTTCAGCCCAAGAGGTTGGCCAATCCATCTGCTTCACACAAACATCCATACTAGTGTGGTCGTGCTGGGAAAAGGTTAACTTTAATCATCGAGGGGCCAATGATGCCCCTTTTTCAATTACAGTGCTCCCGTTCTGGCAGCGCAGGCAGCTGTTTTCCCCCAGAGAAAGTGACTATAAGGAGAAAATGAGAAAATTAAAGCAGTAAAATTGCACCAGAAATATATCCTATAATTTGGGATAATAAATACTCCGCTGGGGAAAAAAAACCTTTCTTCCCACTGTAATGAGCTTTGCCAGGTAAAGACATCATTATTCTACGTTGCGGTGAAGGTAACGTAAGTTATCTTTGCCATGATGTTTATCCCAAGGTGGCTTGTGCTCAGCAGTAACCCATCAAAATCTGTTGGGTTTGTTATGCCCTTCTTTAAAATTAAAAAATTACATCTTGTTTTGTAATGCACACTCATGCTTGGACCATGCTTTGGGTATGTGTTCAGTCTTTTTTTGGGGGGAAACATGGGAACATGCTTTCAATAGTGGTGACTCGTCAGGTGATTAAATCCTTGT